TCTCTTTGCCGTGAGCAAAAAAGACGTTTCAAAACACAAATCTCAATTGACCTCCTTTGATCTCTCTCTTTTTGCCCTCAACTCGGAACAGTCTATTTAAACATCTCTGAAGTGATCACAAATATCCTGGTTAGACAAGAAAAAGCAAGGGAATACCGATTTTAATTTTTAAAAAAACGAAAATGATTGGCACAGCCAACACATTTCCTAGGACATCCAATATTTCCCTAACCATAAACAGTCTTACATGTTTCTGACTGAATCAAAACCAAGGTTCTTTTGCTAGGTTCGGAGCTAAGCTTTGGAACTCTATTTGCGATGAAATCCGTCAACTCCACAAGACAGCTTTATATCAGTGACATGTTACTTTCGTTATTAGAGGCTGAGGAGGATTATGCTCAAGCGCCCATTCTGCTTCAAAAAATAGCGAACTATAAAGTTTAATTGATACAGTATAAACACCTTAATTTCGTTTCGCAAGTTACAAGTGGTTGATTTTGTAAATGTTGTTTATTTACGTTTAAGCTTTATTTACTTATTTATATATATATATTTTATTTATTTTTAATTTATCACTGACTGCTGTAGTGTACTCCTGTATCTACGCCAGCCTCGACTAGCACCTGCTAATTGCGGGCGGAAATAGACTTCATGTAAATGTTAATTGTTAATAACAATGTGAAATAAGGTATAACCGAAAACAGTGTTAAAAGCGTTCGTAGCTTTTATAGTCCGCCGTTTATATTTATGCGGTATCGTTGGTGGTTAAACCACACAAACTACGCAAACCGCAGCCAAAATAGGAAAAAATGCACAATCACGACAGCTTTTCATCTTCATGCTTGTGGAAAACCTTCGCTCGCTTTTTTGCTCTTTTTTTTATTTTCCCAGTACATTCCTGATTCTGTAGCATGCTTCACCCGAGCCTAGAGGTATATCGTGTAGTGGGTTATGCCATCCACCTTTTAAACAGCTGAGGCCTGATTTATTGTGTGTGTGGGAAACAAGTAGTACCACGATGATAGGAGAAAACTATGATATTGCAAATTGTACACTGGCTTGCGTCTTAATAGGGCCATTTATACGAGGAAAAATAAGACGCGTCTTAAATAAGACGCGAACTTTCCGTATAAACGGCACATTTCGTCTAAAATAAGACGCGGCTTAGCTAAGACGCGTCTTATTTTAGAACAGCCCTTAACACTTGTTCTTAGATAAGACGCGTCTTAGCTAAGACGAGAAAAACGTCGTATAAATGACCTTTGCGTCTTAAATAAGACGCGCACACATAGTACGCACGTGTTAATTTTTGGCGCGCCACGTTGGATTGCCGTTGCTACGGGCAACATTCGAAAACGAGTCAAGAACAGAAATAAGACGCGAACCATTTATACGAGCTGTTCTCGTCTTAGATAAGACATGCTCGTTTAAATGGTCCAGTTCTCGTATGCAAGACGCGTCTTATTTTTCCTCGTATAAATGGCCCTAATGAGTCACGAGGCAGTTGTTGTTGCTTTTTTGTTGTCAGAATCGTACGTCAAAATCATATCTACGGTTTTTAAAGCCTGGGGTTCGATATGATCGTCCGGATCGTCCCGATCGCCCCAGTCGTTTCAAAATATTTTTTGAGACGATACGAACGACTGGGGCGATTGGTAATTTCCATATGATCGTCTCGATCGCCTCAAAGGCAAGAGACGCGGGGTCGTCAGCGTTGTCTCTGGGTCAGATAATAGAATTTTTGCGCGTGTTTTGCAAGCAAGCCACATAAATGGATGATTTTTATTTGTAAAGCGAACCTCGTACCTTGGTATCTGCTTTTTCTCTTGATTTTGCGGCATTGAGAAGCTAGAAGAGTTCCCCGAAGAAATAGTATCTCTTCGAAAACTTGATGTCACGGACTTTCTCTAATTTCAAATAACCCCCATACGTACGGCGAACATTTGTGTATTATTTTTTCGGCTTCAGCGCCATCCGGGCCGAATTTATTCTCGATCACTGGAATAAAAGTGATGACTTCTGGGATAGCCTTCGATCGTCCCGATCGTCTCAGTCGTTTGAGAGCGTTTCTATATGATCGCTACAAAATTTACACGATCGTCCCGATCGTCCGGATAGAACTCAACTCTATCCAAGCGATCAAGGTCGTCTCAGTCGTCTGGGTCGTTTGCGATTGTCTGGGTAGCGTTTCCATATGATCGTTCCTTTTTGAGACGACTGGGACGATCCGGACGATCCGGACGATCATATGGAAACCAGGCTTAACTGTTCTGACTTACAGTGATAACAAATCCATCATCCTCTCAACCGTACCGAGTTTAAACTTTGTGAGTAGCACTAGGGACTCTGAGAAAAAGACTGTTTGATTAAATTTAAATTTATTCGCCAGAAAAATATTTGTAGAGATAATGAACAAAGAGAATCCTTCATTAGCCTTTTACAGAGAGTTGTCATTCCCGTACTAAGTGAAATATGCAGAGAACGCGCATAGTTTGCTATACTGCAAACAAAATGACTCAATAATCAACACGTGTTGTCACTTCAACTGCAAAAGAAGCTTCTTTGGAAGAAATCAAATGGTTCTCAACCATGGAAAATTGTATGCACAAGTGAATTAATCCTTGGGCTAAAAAATGGCACGAAAAATTAAAGCACTTATGAAAACTGAACTCGAATATAATTAATTTGCCATGCAAATAACGTTTTGATATCTTTATAATCCTGAAAACGACTTTTGCAGTACAGTACTATACTTCAACTTGACATCAATTGGCGCTTTTGCACTGGCACGAAAACCATACTAGACCGAGGCCTCTGTTCACGTCGCGCGGATAACTTGGGGTCACATGTCAGAGGGGTGTTCAGACTTTCCTGGGTAACCTTTCGTGGCGGCACGGAAAGCTATCCAGTATAGTGTGAACACACTCTAAATCAGAAAGATCTGTTTTAGCCCTAAAAACAGGGCCGTTTCGGTGAGTAAAATACAGTCCTATTTTTGGGTCTAATTTGGCTCCCTTAAATCAGGGCCGGCAATACCGTCCAACTAGTTAGGGCTGATTTGGTCCCAGGGCTAAAATGGGCCCTACCGTGGGCTGGAATAGCCTTTTGATTGAGCTTTTTTGGCCTAAATTGTGCTCAAATGGCTCCAGGAAAGGCTGAATCAGACTTTGGCCTGCAGGGCTGAATTGACACTTTGGGGCTGAAACAGATCTTTCTAATTTTCAGTGCATATCCTGAGTTGAGAGAAGTAAAATTGGTGACTTTAAAGAAGTTCTTTTCTTCATTCTTTCCCAGAACCGAGACCTCTGAATGTACGGAGCGTACCTAAATTATTCCTATCTAGCTTTTTAAAATTCTTTTTCTTGACTTTCGTATGACAAATTTATTGCAATTAGGCGTATGTAGCCGATTAAAACTTCTGTATCACCGTTGTTTGTTTTTTTTTTGTAGAATTATTCTATTTGACACTCTATGCAAGCACTGAAATTATGATATTTGTACTTATCATTTACAGTAACACTTGACTATAACTTTTGCTTTCTTTAAAAAATTGATGAATAAGCAAATAAAAGTTTTAAAGGAAATGTTGAGATGGTTTTTTTTTTGCTGTACGGAGCTCAACAGCCAAATATTGCTAGAATCCACTGTACTTAAAGGATCCCAGAGAATAGCGGTTTTGTTTTGTTATTGAAAACATTGAAAAGATAACGAATATCCATAGCCACTGCTAGAATCAGCGGCTTTAAATTAGTAACCTCGCCAAGTTTGAAACAATATAAACTACTAGACTAATAAGTAATTGTGTAAGCCATTAAAGTTTTGTTGTTATTATTTAATTATTATTATGAAAGTCGTACGTTCGAACATAGCGATGATATATAGCTTCAAAAAATTACTAATTAATTTTTACAGACGTTTGTATGCAGTGAGGGCACAAACATGCGATCATTGCCCAGATTGCCACAACGAGGCCCTGGAGATAGACTTCAAGTCTGATCTAGTTTCCATATGAAATATGAATGTTTTCAGTGGGGCCACAACAGTTATAGCGAAAATATGTAGACCAGGCAACAAAAAAAATCGTGCTATAACTTTCAAAAATATAAATTCACGGATTTCTTGTAGATTTTCGACATTCAAATTAGTTTTATAACATCTTTAAAAGGATTTAATTGTTACCAGTGATCACTGATGTTTAAGTATTCAAATTACTAACAACAGCTACATTAACATCCAAATTTACATTCAGCTTTCTTGGAACCTATATTTGTTTCTCAGAAACATAACCGAGTGAGGGGAGAGGTAAGAAAGAGGAAAGAGGAAAGAGGGGATGGTATGGTCTTTATTTCCTCGGCAATTTTTAATGTTCGCTACTTTAACAACCCTTCTCCCTCATGCTCAATATTGTAAAACTTCTAGATTGCAAATCGCTATGGCTCATTTTGTATTTTCTTGTGGTCTCTAACCTTGCGTGGTCACCCCAATGTGGCGGATTTGCCGTCATCGAGGATATGCGTAAGAGGTACTTTGTACTAAGTCACTGACCAGAACAACAATTTAAATTCTTCGCACTGAATTTGCATTTTAATCAAAGAAGACGCTTTGTTTATTACGGGGTCGAACATTTTCGCCACATAAATTGTCTACCGCAATGTTAAAAATTACAGCTTTCAGCTGATACTGCGCCAATGCCGACGAGAAGCAACCGTTTTAGCAGGATCATTGTTTTACGACTGTTTACACTACTCTTTTTTGCAATGGTTAAGGAATCGGATCAAATTCCTACAAACTCTCCCTCTGAATGTCAACGGAAATGTGCCGATGTAGCCCGGACAAATACTTCTACCCAAGAGGTACGTTGAATTTATTCGTTTTTGGTAGATGAAAGCCTTATGATCTGATGTGCCATCTTTTAATGCGACTGCATTTTTTGACACATTCCTTTTCTTGTAAGAAAAAATTCAAACTGCAAGTTATGCTCAATATCCTTACGTGTAATTATTTTCGTCATGCGAAGCATTTCGGATAAAACCGACCAAAAAATCATAACATTTAGGTTTTTATTAGATTTTTGGACAGATAAAATTCAATCATATTGGAAAATTAGGGAAACGTGTGTACAACTTAAGTTTAGAACATTTGAACAGCATACTTTGTAATTGTAGAACATTAAGCCGTCAAAGAGCCCAGTGTTTCGTAGTTAAGATGATGTTGAATTTGATAAATACTGCAACACATTTTCCCATTTTCTAAGAAAGCAGCGATTAACATAAAAGATCTGATTTAGAAAATATGATTAGCACAGAACGTCCGAAGCAGACAAGCGGGTTCATGTTTACATACATATACAAATGCAATATCACTCCTTATCTGCCTACCTGATACAAGGTGTCTATAACAACTAGTAGACGTTTATGACAGGCATGATATTCTTCCTAGTTATTCCTCTACCAACCTAAATTTGTTTAAAATGAGAACTCAGGGCTTTTACAGCTGTAGAGAAATGGTAAAATCTTTTGTCTACTGATGAGGGTCCCTAAAAACACAAACTAACCAACACTTATGAGCGTTTGGATAAGCACTTAAAACCTTTCGCCGGACTTCGATTAAGTTCTTGCAAAGTGCTACCTTAGTATTGAATTTAGCTCTCTCATTTTTCTGGGAACCTGTATATTATAATTGGACATCTTTGCGTTACATGAAACGAAGACAACTCAGGAGATAGACTGATATAACCAACCTAAAATTATTGCACCATTACCATACATCAGTTGTATTTTGTCTTAAACTAATTTCAGATAAGAGTTTTTGTTACTTGTGTGAGATTTCGGAAACAAAGTAGAATTTAATGGGTCTCGGGAGTACTTAAAATTATCGCACCATACAACAGACGAGTTTGTTTTTGGTCTTATGTTGATTGCAGATGAATTTTTGCTGCTTGCGTGAGATTTTCGAAAACTAAGTGAAATTTAATGGCATACTCAGTCAGCCCCTTATTGCGGCTGACAACCCTCGGAAAGCCGTCAAAAATATAGGAATGAGCGCAAGACCTGACTGAAATGCGCATACAATATTACTGATCAATTAGCAAAGCAAATCGTGACTTTGTGTTTTGCTGACATGAATACTCAGGTTTACTAAAAATGCAAATTTACTTTTCGGAAATAAGTAAAAACAGAGTAAATGCATTGTATACAGTTGCTCGGTTTCGGTCAGTTTAATCAACTAGTGGCCTTGTCTTATACTTTAAAGCGAAAAATCTCCAAATCTTTTTGCAAAAACCTGAAAAACAAACAACATCAGAGGTTTCCGGTTGAACGGCGTCGCCAAGAAGGATTTTATCTAGACACAGAAGTTAAGTTAGGCCATATATTTGACTCTGGAAGCTGAGTGAGAGAACTAATAATCAAATCTAAGACAAAAAATACTATCAAATGAGAGAAAAAACTTGCAGTGGAATGAAGAACATCAACTATTAAAACAAAGCTATAGTTAGCAGGAAAAGGAAAGGGAAATAATTCACTACGTCACCTCATTCTAGAAAACCACTAATTTTTTATCAAATCAGGCGAAAGCATTATGACCTTTTCTTATTACAAATCAGTTCTGATTTAACTTTATTTTTATTATCACGGCACGTTTGTACAGATGTACTGTTAACCAGCTCTGGAGATGGCGACTTGTAGATAAATAAAGTGTAAGATGATTGATTGTTATACATTTTTTCTCCTCCCACGCAGTTGTGTTTACGCGGATGCTTGAACAGGAAAACAGGTGATTATTGCCACGAATTCCTTCACCTTGTGTCTTCGATGTTGAAACTTATTTTTATTTACTTATTGATTTATACAATATTTCAGTGATCGACCGATCCCCTTCACCCGGAGAGAATATCCTTCCACCTACAGGTAAACATTTTAAGAGAATTCCAAGGGCTCGATACCCTGGGTACCAGAGTTTTTTTCTCTGTCTCGGAATGCTTCGGTGTCGGCCACAATGCCGACGCATCTTCGGGCAAAGGCCGAATCAACGAGTGGCTATGAAGACTTAGGACCTAAATCGGAAACCACGTACGCTTGAATTAAAGTCTCTATAACCCAGGGTAAGGGCTTGTACGATTACGAAAATTTCACTTACTTAAAATTCTGTTTTTCCATGTTGCCAGTTTTTATTCATGAAGCTTATACAGAGACAATATAGTTCATTTTCTTAGTGATCTTAAACGCCCTTAGCCCCAATATATAAGCTCATAGCGAACTCACAGTATCATTTTAACATGTTAGACTGTCCAGATTCCACGAAAGACCAGTCAGTTTTAGACTGGACTCCTAGTAGGATTTTTGCAAGCTTTGGACAATATGAAAACTCAAGCTCCTGGTACGTGAATATGTCTTGGAGTCCCATGAACGGTAAGACTTTCCTTATTTGCAGAATCCCTTTTGAAAAGTAATTTAACTACAATTTTAATAATTAAAAGTAAAATATAAACTAAGATTCCTCCTTGACTCTCATCAACACACCGCAAAGCGAAGAACGACCAACATAGACAAGCCTTTGTAACCACCTGAAATCACAGTTAAGCCGTTCTCACGTATTACGATAACCAACCCTTTTCCATTATACTTTCGATTCTTAAGTTAAAGAGTTACAAGTGTGGTTTCCGACTTTCCGAGCACAACACCAATTATCATTTTCTTAAAAAAAACTTACAGCAAAACTCCTTCCGCAAGCTAATTAATTAGGCGAAGGAAAGTCTAGAACCTGATGTAGTGTCAAATTAACTAAGACCTTAATGGAGAATGGAGGATATTAGGTCTACTCTGGGACCTTTATAAGTCGACGTGCCTAATTAAATGGCGACTTAAGGATATCATTATTATTATTATTATTATTATTATTATTATTATTATTATTATTATTATGGTATTATTTTGCTTCTGGATAATATGTAATAGTAATGAAATATTAGTCAGATAGATTATAAGTTTTCCTTAGTCCAAAAATTACAATAAAACTAGCTGACTGATTGTCTGCACCTTCTTCTGCAATGACTCGTAGAATTTGCGATTAAACTCTTTAGTTCTAGTTTTACCCTCAGGCAACCGAAGTGAAGGATCAATTAAACTGATATTTCACTACAAGTTGATACCTTGGCCCTTTTTTCGATTTTATGTTTAATGTTTAGACACCATTGGAAACCGGACTGGCATCTTGGTTCGTATGGTTATCACATCGTCTAAGGATGGAAATCCGGTCCCTACAAACTGTTTTGTTTTTCCACCGGTAAGAATGGATGTGTTATTACGCCAGTCTAGCGTCGATTACAATAAGTCAAACTCTTTGAAAGGTCAAATAAAGACAGATATTAAAACGGGGTCTAGCCGTCCTTATCTGCATTATAATTATTAATAATTAAGTGAATTATTATTTCAACACTGTTTACTGCAGAAAATTCGAGAAGGCATATAGCACAGACTGTAATAATAAAAAATATATATCTCTCTATATCTACTTAAACGGCTCAGTTATATCTCAAACAGGGCGACTGGGAGGTCTAACATAAAGCGTCTCTCAGCAAGTCTCCGATTCTTTTTAATGACCAGTCGTTTTTTGTCAATTGTGCCGGTAATGACTGAAAACTTGTCATTGCCTTTCATCTGTTCCGTGATACAGATTTCAGGGTCGGCCGGGGGGGGGGGGGGGGGGGGTGGTTATCTTAAAAAAAATCCACCAAAGAACCCAAAAACAAACAAAAACAACCCAAAAACAACAAAAAGAAACATTTTAACTTAAAATTAAACAAAACGAAAAATACAAACATGTGGGGGGGGGGGGGGGGGGGGGGGGGGGGGGGGGTAGTGGTATACCTGAAAAAAATTCGCCAAAATACCCAAAATTCATCCAAATATACCCAAAATTATACCAAGGTATACTTTATACCTGAAATTCAAAGAAAGTGATATACCGAATACCTGTATTTAAGCTGCAATATACCGTATACCCAATTTAAAAAAGCCCCTGTATACTGTATACCCAAAAACCCTGGCCGACCCTGAGATTTAGCCAGGGCTAATGAGCTCTCTATAATATTCATAATAATGCTAAGCGGCGGGAAACGAGACCGGTGAAAAAACAACAATCGGTCTAATTAGTAATTTGTTTGCACGACTACAACGTGAAACTTCCAGAAACTTCCTGGTTACACGTTTTATGGAGGAAATGTCGTACGTGTTCTTGTTCAGTTTTTGTCACTGCCGCTCATTTTTACCTTGGTGGCCGCTAGCATTTCTTAATTTTCCACCGCCGCTACAAAATTTTTATGTTGTTCTTCCAACAAAAAACGTCTCGTTTGGCCTTTTATCGCTCGTTCTAGCTGTATGTCGCTCTTTTTCTCGTTGAGCTTCGCTGGCCTGTTGCCTTCTTTATCTTTTTTCTGTCTCTCTCTTTCTCTCTATTTAAAATTTGTAGACATGACAATTGACCTAAGCTTATACTCAGACAACACTTAAACAGAAACAATTTCCCCTTTCCGTTTTCGTTTTTATTTACTCTTTAGTTGTCTCTGCTTTACACAAGACGCGGGTGGCTATGCGATTTCCCGCCAAAATAACCTCAAGTTACCATACGTGTTTGTTATATTCCTAGACTTTCACTCGACTAAATAGGGGCTGTCATTGGTTGATCCTTGGCCACGTGGCCTAAAATCAAATGTATCCCGATTGTGATACATAAGGCAATGTACCCCGCTCGGGATATATTACAGCACGTGATCAAAGCGTGGTGGAAAGTGGCGTGACAGAAGGCGGGAAAAACACAGTTTTCTTTTTCGTGCATTTACACAACTACTCCACAACAACTGAAACATTAAACCGCAAGCTAAAAAGCAACGATTTTCAAAGTTATCCCGGAAGACAAACAGCAGCTAGTGGAGGAAAAAGATGCAGATAATGATAAGGAAAGTACTTTGTAAAACATTCATTCAGTGGTCTTGAGAATTTTATTTGTGTTCTTATAAGTACCGAGTCGACTGTTTTGATTCGCTCCGTTTTAAACTTATATTCTGTTATGGCTGTTGAAGTGAAAGTCTAGAAATATAACAAAACACTTAATGTCAGGTCCCTCGGGAAACCAGTTAGTTTTGTTTTCCCTCCAGTCCTGATGTTTTCCGAGACGAAGTCGAGGGAAACATCAGGACTCTCGGGAAAACAAAACTAACTGTTTCCCTCTGGATCTGACATTAAGTGTATAATGTTGATTGAGTTATTTTACATTGGTATGCCCGTGGTGCCGACGTACGGTCGGTCGGTCGGGCGGGCGTAAGGTCACGCGACTACCAAATTTTCTCGGATGCATAGGTTACCAAATTTTCTTACCCCTGGATCTCCGCTGCGTGCGAGAGCTCCGCTATAACCCTTTGGTTGCCTCTGTTCAACTGTTGCTTAGCGTTGTAGAATAACCGCTTCCAAACAGGCAGCAACAGAAAAACATGCATTTTCACTTTTAAGGTCAAATTAACTTAGGAAGAAAATCTTCTTCTTCCATTGTTAAGGCACATTTCACAATGTATGATGTTCTCTTTTATTTCTTGTAGAACCAAACATTTCTCAGAGTGAACATCTCTTCATTTGGCTACCAATATCCAGGCTATATTTTCGTAAACGTAAGTATATCAAGTGTACTTGATATGAAAATTGGCTACTTGTTATCACATTGCAATAACAAGTAGGCGATTTTCATTTCACTTGTGACAAGTGTTAATGACCATGAACAGGGACTAAAGCTATGCCAAATAACTTTTATTTCCTACTGTATGTTTAGATTCTTGCCCTCCCATATCGTGCAGACATTTCAGATGCTCGAGTGATGTTTCCACCAAACCTGCGTAAGTGTAGCACTTTAAGTTATTTTAAACATTAATTCTGCATTGGAAATTTTTTCAACAAGGAGCTTATTTAAGCAAACACCATAGCAATATTGTTTATAGGAAACTTAAAATACCAAGAGAAAGGCATGGATAGCTTTTGGTAAATGATTTCAGAGTTTTGCCGGTTCCTTCTTTCCTTCTTTATCGTTATGCGACTGAATGGGATTTTGAATTTTCTTTTCTTTTTTTCCCGTCATTTAAAAAACTTGAATAGGTTTTTTTTCTTTTAAATTTTTACGTTGTAGCTTCCTTATGACACCTTATGTGTTTTGTCACCTATCGCTTCAGTCCATCTCGCAAATCAACTTGAATGGAGTAAGGTGAAATTTGAAACAAGATTTTCCCGACGCTCAAATATGCAAGCAAATTGAAATTGAAATTCATTCCCGTTTATTACAAAGTTTATTTCAATCGCGGATACTTAAAGACATTCTTGATATATTATTTTTTCCTGCGATAGTGTTAACCGATCAAACAAATATATAAGCAACTGCCATAAGATGATTTACTCAACAATGTCTACCTTCAAAAGCCATCATTAAAAGATGGAATCGGTCTACGCCTAATATAATTGTGCTAAATTTAGTCACTTCGAAATCAGTTATTCATTTCAATTTTTTTCGTTTTCTAGCAACGCTCAAAGCCACCACGACAGCAGGTAAAGTAAACGAGGACACTTTCTTCATAACAATGCGCTCCTGACTGTTTTTTTCTTTTAATACGGCTTGTTCATTATCGTTAATATATGTATCTATTTTCCTTTGCAAAACCAACCGTAAGAACTATAGCTTTTGGTAAATGATTTCAGAGTTTTGCTGGTTCCTTCCTTCCTTCCTTCTTCATTGTTATGTGACTGAATGGGATTCTGAATTTTCTTTTCTTTTTTTCCCGTCATTTAAGAAACTTGAATAGGTTTTTTTTTCTTTTAAATTTTTACGTTGTAGCTTCCTTATGACACCTTATGTGTTTTGCTACCTATCGCTTAAGTCCATCTCGCAAATCAACTTGAATGGAGTAACAAGATTCTCCCGACGCTCAAATATGCACGCAAATTGAAATTTAAATTCATTCCCGTTTATTACAAAGTTCATTTCGAGACGCGGATACTCAAAACATTCTTGGTATATTATTTTTTCCTGTGATAGTGTTAACCGATCAAACAAATATATAAGCAACTGCCATAAGATGATTTACTCAATAATGTCTACCTTCAAAAGCCATCAACAAAAGGAGGAATCGGTCTACGCCTAATATAATTGTGCTAAATTAAGTCACTTCGAAATCAGTTATTTATTTCAATTTCTTTCGTTTTCTAGCAACCCTCAAACCCACTACGACAGCAGGTAAAGTAAACGAGGACACTTTCTTCATAACAATGCGCCCCTGAAAGTTTTTTTCTTTTAATACGGCTTGTTCATTATCGTTAATATATGTTTCTATTTTCCCTTGCAGCGCCTTCAAAACCTCCTAAGACCAAAGGTAAAACAATGAAACCGTAAGAACTATAGCTTTTGGTAAATGATTTCAGAGTTTTGCTGGTTTCTTCTTTCCTTCTTCATCGTTATGTGACTGAATGGGATTTTGAATTTTCTTTTCTTTTTTTCCCGTCATCTAAAAAACTTGCATAGGTTTTTTTTTCTTTCTTTTAAATTTTTACGTTGTAGCTTCCTTATGACAGACACCTTATGTGTTTTGCCAGCTATCGCTTCAGTCCATCTCGCAAATCAACTTGAATGGAGTAAGGTGAAATTTGAAACAAGATTTTCCCGACGGTCAAATATGCACGCAAATTGAAATTTAAATTCATTCCCGTTTATTGCAAAGTTCATTTCGAGACGCGGATACTTAAAGACATTCTTGGTATATTATTTTTTCCTGTGATAGTGTTAACCGATCAAACAAATATATAAGCAACTGCCATGAGATGATTTATTCAATAATGTCCACCTTCAAAAGCCATCAGCAAAATGAGGAATCGGTCTACGCCTAATAATTTAGTCACTTCGAAATCAGTAATTCATTTCAATTTCTTTCGTTTTCTAGGAACGCTCAAACCCACCACGACAGCAGGTAAAGTAAACGAGGACACTTTCTTCATAACATTGTGTTCCTGACTGTTTTTTAATACGGCTTGTTCATGATCGTTAATATATGTATCTATTTTCTTTTGCAGCGCCTTCAAAAGGTCAAACAAACAGTAAGAACTATTTCTTTAAAACACTGTACCGCAACTTAAATATGCTTTCCGAAATACGATAATTTCTTTACGTTTATTTTTACGACTACATCAAGAAAAATACATGTAAGATGACCCTTTCTAAAGTTACGTTCATGTTATACCGGATAGCAGATTGCGCCGGTACGAAAAGCGATCCCGTATCAGTGTGGACATCGCTTAAATGTCTGAACAGGGCGTATAGTATAATGTTTTTCTATAATGTTTCTTCGACCTGTTGCAAAGTAAATGACCTCTTCCCTTCTTCAATGGTTAATGTAAAACACTGCGTTGAAACAGTTCTTTTACAGAAGATAAGTTTTCCAAACAATTATGCCGTTGAAACACTGATTGTGTTAAAAAAGCGGTAAGGGAAGTTACTCAGTGACCTCCTTAATTTAACTGATACGACCTCAATTCCGTCTTTCTAGGGTGCAACAACGAATATGGGGAGCTTGTGTGGTACCCAGATAAGATTAAAGCAAAGCCTTTTTTAGGAGATAATAACACCATTTCCTATGTGAACATATCGTGGTCGCCATTAACAGGTATGATTGACTCAGACTGTTATTACCATAGCCAGCACTTGGAGATAGGCAAAAAAGTGCCACAAACGTTTTGTACCTTTTTTGCCTCCAGTATCCATCCATTTTAAATTTCCAAATTTCCCCCATCTCCTTCCCTACCATGAAGTACCATACGAGTGACAGTTGAGCCAAGATGTGGTCAAACCTATCCATCAATAAGTTCTTCGATGGTTCTACAATAAAGAACAAAAGGAATCGAATTAGTGATACACTAGGGACAGAAATCTAGGCTAATGGCCAGAATGATTTTCCCTGAACTTCACCCTGTTCAAAATGTTATGCTACCACATTTTCTGTCCTCCAACGGTCTGGGAAGTATGGCATGGTATACGTATTTTTTTTAGTAAAATTCAACTAGTGGTCTATTATCAATGCTGCGTTCTGATTGGTTGAGCTACTACTAGGCTATATGATATAGCCCACTAGTAGCGAAAAGGGCCGCAAAACAATGTCTTTTGCATCGCGTTTTGCTAGCTAAAGTTGTTTCGTCTCGATATTTTTGACCAACTAGTTGGATTTTACTAATTAAATATAATTATTTCTCTCGCCCTCATGGCCTCTGAGTCAATAGCCTATTCGGCCTTCGGCCTTCAGCCTCATGGGCTATTGACTCAGAGCCCATTCGGGCTCGAGGAATAATTGTTAAATATCTAGTGATAGTTATCGCAAAAATCTTACTCAGCATTTTCAATTACCATCCTACAGATCCCACGGTCACGTGGAAGGGTTACATGATTTCCCTCTTCATCGGTGACATCGGTGCACCGGGTTCTTCCCCTGGCATGAGATGTTTCCTTTTACCAAAGGTATAACTATATCATATGTGTCAAGAAAAGGGATTTAATATGTTTACGTGCCGGCCAATCTATTTCATTATCTGGCTTGGAAGGAAAAGCCACTAGTTAAACTGTTTGCAGTTCCCCTTTTACCGTGAAATGGACGAGATCGAGAGCTTGCTGTAACGGGCGGCCATGTTGGTTTAATATGCACCAAGGGGGTGGGCATCGGGGCCTGCTGATATAGAGTAGATATGATACTCTTTTCCCAGATCACACTTACAATCAAACCAAAATGGCTGCCCGTTTTAGTAAGCGATCTTACTGAAAAATAGGGTAGCGTGAGCTCTCTAATAATATGTCGACAGCTTTCAACACACGGTTCTTGCTGAATGTGCCAGCACCGCAACACAGGCAACAAAAGCAAAAGCAAAAACAAACATGGAAACAAATAACACAAAACCAAAAAAACAGCAAGTAACATACCAAACAAACACCAGGAACCAAGCATTATATCAAACCACGCTGCGGGTTTTTGTTGACATGGTAAAGGGCTTGACCGCAAAGCAAAGGTTCGTATGAAAAAAGGGCCTTACGCCAGTCACGTGACTCCAATGGTCACTTGGGAGTCTCTTCGGGAGATTCTACTGCCTGGCTCCATTATTGCTTTTGCTTTATCATAATCTATATCGGTACATGCAGCAAGGCACCACAACACTGAGTTAGATCCGCAATGACAGGTGTTACAAACGACAGCCGTGAAAAGTACATCGCTGAATTCTCTTGGAAAGCGGTGATAATCATTCTGAACTTTCCCAATTTTATATAAACTTGACGTTTCCTATGCTAGTTCATTTTCAAAAGTGACCAAAAGCGACCGTTACAGAAATATTGTGACAAAACTATTTATACAAAATTGATACGGGGGCTGGAAATAAGATTAAGAAAATAATCACTGTTTGTGTTTTATTTTTGATTAAGCTGCGATGGCCCACTAACAAATCTTTATAATCTGTCTTTTAATTTTTCTTGCTAAGAACCAAACGCACTTCATTGTGGACTCTTCTAGTGGCTGGAAACATCCATGCTCATCAATATCTGTCAATGTAAGTGACATAAAGTAACGTAAATATATCTGCCAGAGTTAGGGCCTGTTAACATGGCCGTGGTGGGACCCCAGGTAGGTGAGGTAAACCGCTTAGGTGGGGTAACCCGGTTGTCCATATAATCTCTCATTTTAATTTGAACAAGTTCGCATTATGGTAGGGTGACCCGCCACATGTTACCAAACCTACCTGGGGTCGTGCACCTCCATGTAAACAGGCCCTTACACAAAACAAACTGTTACATAAATATTTAAAATAAACTTTTTTTTTACAAACTAAACTTGTTAATGGCCATTCAGACTATCAGAAAGGCTTTTACGCGAAACAAACTCAAAACATTCCTTTTCTGTTGTATTCATGGAAATCACAAACCTAACTGCTAATATGGATGTTGGGAGAACTCTCAAAAAGCTTGTAAATCACTCGCCTTCGACTCGCGATTTACAAGCTTTTCTCGTGTTCTCCCAACATCCCGCGTGGGTTATCACGCCAGTAAACCTATAGAAAGTGTGGTCTATTGCTTAAATACACAGAATGAGCTAGGCAGCTGTGACAAAGCCCCTTTAATGGACATGTGATTATGTACAAGTGCAAGACGCACAATGGAAGAGCGTTTTCAACAATATGAGAGCTGGGTGGTCTGTTGACAAATGAATTGGCTTTTTCATTTCATCCTTTTTAAGGTAACGGCATATCCTCGTCCGAGATTTGAAGTAGCCGATTTGAGAAACATTTTTCCATCGAAGCCATGTGGACCTCCAGGTATATACTACGAAACTTTTACTTTATCTTCACAATCTACTCATTTTTAACCTCCATCTCCTATAACTCTGCCCCTTCCCTACTACCACAAAGTTAGAATCAGAATGGTCGTACAAAAAAGCATCCTCATTAGGACAACGTTGATTGCCAATTGGCATTCAAAAGGATCAATGATTGGATATATGAACAAAATCTTTACAGAGGTAGGAGTGGATTTAGGAAAACGAGATCGTTTTCCGTTTACGCGAGCTTAAAAGCGTTTTTCTAGGGGGAGGGACGGCTTACGCGTCCCCGAAGTTTATTATGATTACATAAGTTCATTTTTTTAACTAGATAAGTCAAATCTGAAACAATTAACTACATGCAAAAATAATATTTTTTGTTTTGTTGCTTTTGTTTGGTATCCACAAGTTCAACTAGCAAGTAGTCTAACGAACGCTATGATAAGTTAATGATAGAGGATTGATAAATTTATTGACTAAATGCAAAAAAATAAACTGGATATGAAAACGTTTTCACCAATTTCACTCCACTGATTGAAGCGGGTCTATCTCCTTCTTTTTTTAATAGTGACTCCATCGGTGTCCAAAGAGCAAACTGGTAAGTTTTCTTGCAAACTTCGTATGACACACGATTATATAACAAGGGTTTGATAAGCCTTTCGGTGTGAAACAGTCTGGGTTAACAAAAACCAAGTTGTTCCAGACGTCACGTCTGAAACAGCTTGGGTTTTGTTAACCCAGACTGGAGTCCAGTCCCGCTCACTTCTCTTTGCACAGTTCTCAATATCTGAACAGTGGGGAAATGCTATCGTTAACCCTATTTAGACTTGGGTTGGGGGACTTTGAGGCCTACCCCTAGCTTAAAGTTGAAGAGCTTCAAAACTCACGAACGCCAAACTCGCTTACATTTCTAAATATATTTTCCACTCATCTGGAAACTTAGCGAACTTGCGGTTTCTAAGCTTTGAGAAGGGCGAAGCATGTCAATCAATCTTAATTATGATGCGTGGCAAAATTGGCTCAAGTAAACATGAAGTAAAAAAGATAGGATGTGTGTGAAGCTTTCTTTTACTTGAAGAATTTAAAATTTACTTGTCTTGAAATATTTCTTAGGTTATTTAGGCTCTAGTGTAAAGACTACCATTATCATCAAGTCGTCGTAATGTGTACTTCAACATTAACGTTGCCATGTCAACCTTCTTTCGATCGCCGTGTACTGCAAAATCTTCGTTTTCACAAAAAAAGCCGCTATATTTCTAGATTTCCTGATTGAGATATTAACTTACACTTTTTTTAGCACTAGTTTTTCAAATTTATTATAACTGAATGTCATTCAGGTTTTAAAGGTACTAATTTGAACTGTTTCTAATAGTGTTTTGTCGCTTTTGCTTTATAGTGCCCACTGTAAGGGTATCTACAAATTCAGCTGGTAAGTAGTCTAACGGACGCTATGTTAAATTAATGAAAAAGGATTGATAAATTTATTTACTAAATGCGAGACAATAAATTGGATATGCAATCATTTTCCCAAATTTATTGTAACTAAATGTCATTCCGGCTTTTAGTCAGTTCAACGTTGTTTATTTCCCATGGAATTTCATTGCTCAGGAAGTCAGATTTCTTTTGCTTCTGAACATCCGTTGATACAAACGTCGGGGTTTTATTTTTCTCACATGCCTTGATTTAAGGATTTTAAGCAACATAAATACATCGCGATACATTTAAATTGGTTCAAAATGACAGATCCAAGATGACGGATATGTGGATTTATTAGAAATTATATCATCAATACTTCACTACTTTTGTCAAGGATAAGAAGTGCAAGTTAAACTGGACTTGGATACTGAAAATGATGATATCATTTTGTGTAAATTTAGTGGCTGTATCAGTAGAAGTTTAAAAATTATGGAGAGAGGCTCAGATGCCCCCCACCCCTAGAAATCTTTAAAGGCATTTAATTGGAACTGATCATAACAATGAGCGAGACACATAAATCAGGAACCAGTACTAAAACATTGAAAACCCAGTAAAATGCAAAAGAAGGAATATACCGATGAAGACTGAAAAACGGACTGGAAACTAGTTAGCCTTAAAAGCAGCTTTTCAAAGTACACATCGCCTTTAAATTAGTAGAGGGCTCAGATACGTTTAAAATAGATCACGCGGGTTTATCATATCAATAAAATTAAGTGGCGTCGATCTCGTACATATGAAACAAGGAAAATGAGATTCTAGGCACTCTAACTTTCAGAAGGAAACACAGAGATCTGAACAAAAGTTAGGCTGGAAAAATGACACTTAACCTCTCTTTAGGAGCCTCTTATTCTTTTTGAACTGGTTTACGAGAAAGTTCATACCAAAATCACATTAAGAATGAAAACCCCTTTCAGATAATTGTTTTGGAAATTGAAAATTTCCCTTTTTATCCACAGGGGTAAAACACGACATTGTTAAAACTGTGTTTTTGTCTGTCGGAGGCTTGGCTGGTGTCTTAATTGTAGTGGCAGTGATATTTTTCTATCGACGGTGGAATAGACAAACCTTGAAGGAAACGCCTTGTGAAGGGCCAAAACGTAAGTAACGGTTTAAAGGAGTTGCATCTGGGACAAAAATCACCAATAATTTAGCAATATGACCTCGTTATTTTCCATCCCATCATCACTTTCTTCGGCCAAAGCCGAGATACCTTCAAATATTTAACCTTCCATCAAAGAAGTGAACCTTGACATCATAGATATCAAAAGTCACCGGAAGGTGCCTCGGTTTCTACAGGAGTATATTCAAAAATGCTGTATTCGAGGATTAGTAGCTTCCTCTTCGAAAAGGCAGAATCACTATTGCCTTAGCTTCTGGATTCGACCTCTTTCGCACCGCCCTCAATATTCCCCATTGTTTGCCCCACAAATTTTCCTTAAGCATTATTTTCCCTTTCTCTCCAACAAGACTCGACTCTCGGCTTCGCTACTCGCGCAAAGTTATTATTGCTGTGCCACCCGCTCCCCGCGTGAACGATTCCCTAACTTCTTAATATCTAGATCATTAATTTTTATTAATTTATTAATTTATTTTTATTTTTAAGGGTTCTCAAATTACCACCTTCAATTAAAAATTTTTCCTTTTTTCAACCAAGAAATTGCATTATTGTAATTTATTTTTGTGCTTGTCTAGACTAGTCGTCGTTGTTGTTTTTTTTTAACGCGCTGCTATTGCTGGTTTTCAGTGACACGCCATTCAAAATAGATCAAAATAAAAATCAAAACCGTTCAATAGATAAAGTCCGGAATCTGGGAAATGAAAGGAGGTAAATATACCAAATTCCTCGCCAAGATTCAGGCCAGAAGAATATCCCGTATACGAGATATCCGAAGAAATGGTTTGCCCAAATTTATAGAGATTTGTATGGAGACGCTATGCTGGTGCCCACCTGGATGGGCACCAACATGGCGGACGGAAACCAACAAAAACTTCTGTTACCGAGTTTTGGTACGAGGGCGTGTATTTATTCCTCGAGGAACTCATAAACAATAAAGTAATACTTTTTCTAATCCATAAACTGTTAAGATAGCAAAATTCCCCGAAATACGTCACTTTTTTAACCTACATGACAGCTCTCTCGGCCGTCATGTAAATGCTGTAACGCAAAAGCCTAGAAATTCAAGCGTACTCTATCACAAAATTAAAAACCCTTTTGAAGCGAAAATTTGTATAAAAATTAGTTTTCAGCTGCTCTAATACACCATGAAAGTAAAATCTCAGTAGGATCGATAGTTTTGTTGTTTGAATTTTAGTGACGTCATGTGAAAACCAACAATAACGATTTAACAATTTAATATAAGTGTACTGTAAGTGCAAGTGGTTTCCCCAGTGATTGGTGTTACACCATAAATCACGGACGGGCAAGCAGTCTTGTCCAATACAACTTTTCTATGTAACTTTTTTTACTTCGTTTGTGTTGGTAATTTAATCACTCTTTTTATTCCACAGGTTTCAAATACCACGCTTTTATAATCTACAGTATGGTTGATTCACAATGGGTCGATACAACCCTTGTTCCAACGCTTGAAAGCTATGGTTTCAGATGTTGCATCCACTGGAAGGACTTTTTACCTGGCAGGGTCTTTGCACAAAGTATCGTAGAAAGCGTGTACAACAGTTTCAAGATTATCGCTGTCGTATCAAGCCATTTTATGAGTAGTAATGCCTGTGGCTTTGAACTGGAACACGCCATGACAAGACTCATGACTAACAGGGACGACTGCTTAATAGTGATTAAATTCGACAATGCAGGCATTGAGAGACTACCAGCTCCAATATTAGATAGGAGTTACATAGACTTTACTCGGAGAACCGATAGATCTACATGGGAGTCCAAGTTAGCAGGAATCCTTAGTAAAGCTGTTATTGAAGACGACAGTTGCAGAACGAGCACGACAAGTACTACTGACAATAACAACAGATTTTCAGAAGGCAGTTCAACGGCCAGCGAAGACAAAGATCTCATTTGTTCGTGCCAAACAGAGTGACGGAATATATATGCCTATAAGTATATACGATAAGAGATCAAGAGATTATCGTCACAGAATTAACTCGCAATATGGAAATAAGACAATCTTCATGACAGCTATCAAAATGGACCTCGATTTCTCGATTGTGTATAATCTATTACCCCCAACAACATGTGCCGGTGAATAGATAAAAGGTTTCCTATGGAATACCTTGAGACGCCATTTGCTATGTAGCGTCTGTAGTTCCAATGGTTCTCGCAACAGAAGGTATCATAGCGGCCTTTGGGAACATGATGCCGAAAAAAGGGAAACTTTACAGACGAAGTTCCTTTCCTAGACTAAGCCATATAACTATTAACATTAGACCTCCTACTAAAGGAAAAGGAGACCAGGAGCCTATTAGCCAACGGCTTCTTAGGAAACACACTTTTACTATGTAAAGAGGATCAGGTACCTTACTGTATAAAAACATAAAAACAGAGAGTGCATGGAATCACTCAAAATACATCCACACCACCAGAATAGAACAGGCTAATTTTTCAGTCTTGTTACGGTGTTTAGCACCATTTGAAGCTATTTGAGCGGCTTGAAAGAATGTATCCTGCGTTTCATCCTTAGACTATGAACGTAAACACGGGCGAAATGTCCCACCAACTAGAGCAAACGAAGCACTAGTAACGTTATGCAAGTCGTAAGGTAGGGGTGAGAGCAATCTATTTTTGAAGTGGAATCTCGTTGGTATGAAGCGGGATACATTAAAGTCGATGACGTCCTAGTTTCATTGTGAATAAAAAATTTCATTAGTTTACCTCATGGTCTACTTTTATATTGTTTACCGATTTCACAGGTTGTAAGTTATTTTTAAGTCCATGAATTGCTTGGTTTTTGATGGGCTGACTGAAAGCGTTCACATTACAAACAACAAAAATGTACAATTACAATCCGTTTCACTCTTCTTCAAGTTTGTCCATCCCTTCCCTTTTTGTATTTGCTGTTGTAATTTATACCTTCCTTTCATTTCTTGATCAGTTATTTTTAAGTTTTACTCTGTTTGGTGGCAGTTCCCAATGTTCGATGAATTTTGTGACACACCTCCTTTAAGCTGAAGAAGTGTGTTTCTTTAAACAGAGATGGTATAGGATCCACAGAAGGCAAAGTGAGATCCATCCAAGAGCCCCGGCACCAAGTAATGTCCAGAAATCTCAAGC